AGGGCCGGGCGGGCTTCTACCTCCACACACCCCCCCTCCTCGGGAGGGCTCTCCGCCTCCTGTGCCCGGCGTCGCCCTGAGCCGGGGCGGCGGGCTCATGGCTGCACCGAATGCTCAGCCCCGTTCCCCGGCAGCGCTGCCCTCCCGAGCCGTCAGCCAGGGAACGGGCAGCGCGGGGACGAGTCCTGGCTGATGGCGCATCTTCTGTAACGCCGGCCGGGGCTGCTGCCCTCCGCAGCCGCCCGGTGCGGCTCCATGCCTTCAGTAAAGCAGCGTGTCAGAACGAACCCCTTCTTTCCCGTGCACTAAACCCAGCCGTCTCGCTGTCTGTAGTTTTACAATTTTCCTCTCAGCTGAGGTGGGAGCTCAGCGAAGCACTTGGAAATCTCGAGCGGCTTGCCGCTCCGCTTGTGTCCGTGGACCTGAGGTAGTGGCACGAGTGTCTAGCAGACTTGCTTGTTGAGACAAAACATTTTTAAGGAGAAGCAACAAAAGCAAAAGCTTTTCCAAGGTGCGTACCTTTTGCATTTGCTAGGGCGTTAGAAGAATGCTCGAGCCGTGAACAAAGTAGTGGTAGTTTTGGAACACAGTAGTGGTAGTGGTTGTTTTCCTGATTTCAGTGCAGTTATTGCAGTTCTGTCCCCGCAAAACTATATCCTGTTTTGTTGGGGGTTTTATATGTCTTTTTTACAGTTCAAGTATGCTTTGGGATGGAAGGTGCAGTCAGCTTTTGAAATTCTATCTCACATTTCTGCCGTGATTTTTACTCGTTAATTCACAATATTGCATGTAGGGAAACAGTGCTTTCTTTAACTCGTAGTAAAAAATCGGTGCCTAAAAGCAAAGGCAGATAGGGCAGAGACAACATCTATTTTTTCTGCCTCCATTCGTAGTAGTCGGGCTTGTAGGCACACAGAGGAGCAGATTCTCAAACTCTCATGGAACTTTGTTCATGCTGAACTATTAGATGTCTTGAATGGGGAAAGCTTGTGACCTTCAAAAAAATTGTGCCAAAGTTATCTTTAGTTGCGTTTATTTTTGAGAATGCTGTACAGAGGCAAGACTTTCTAGCTTACCCAATACTGTTTAGAAAGCTATTATGATATACAGATTCAGTGGTGTCTTGATCACATGAAGCATTCAGGAGAAGGCTTTCAAAGCAGTTAAAACTTTGCATCCATAAGGTATCACAAAAAAGTGTTAACAAGTTGCTCTCAATTACAACTTGGATGTTTTTGAGAATGTGACTGCTCCGTTGTGTCCATGGGAGCTGCTAAACAGTCAGATCTTTGTAAATGCAGTCTTCAGATGGAGTTACAACCATAAGTCTATAATCTTGCATGGAAACTATAATCTGTTAAGTGGTGGAAAAGTCATCTCCTCCTAACTGAAATGTGGCTGGCTACGTTTTATACTCAGTGCTGTACAGAAGATCAAAGCTTTTCAGATAGAGCTTTATAAAGTCTGTGAAAAGGCTCAAAAAGGCCTTAAATATTTCTAATCTATGAGTGTGGCTGTGTTTGAAGCTGAAGAGATTGTAAACTCTGTGAGCCTTGTAGTGAAAATATCTTCCCCCCTGTGTGAGCATTTTGAGTGTCCGTCCAATGTTACACGCCCAGAGAGTATTAATTGGCATGTGCTAGCCGAGCCTAGATGAGAACGTAGCCTGTAGGAGCTGCAGTGGTGCCTTATAGCCATAAGAGTTACGAATTTTAGCAGCGTGACACTTGGGTGGTGCTAAACTTCCTCTCAGACTTCCCTTCCAAAACTGCCTGATCCATTGAGAAGACCTGCAAAGGAAGCCTTTGTTGATGCCAGTAGAAGCTCTGAAAATGGGGAGAAGATCCCAGTGCCTTCATCTGAGGACGGTTTGTGGGGAAGCTTCTTCAATGCAGTGCAAAATTATTCATTGAGAATATTCTAACCTGTGATGAATCTTTCTGTAATTTACATTTTGCATATATGATTAAGCAGCATTGGCCAAAAGCCTGGTGATGGCACACAGCTCTGGAATGTCTCCCTGTTGCCTGAGCAGTTTATTCATGTTAGCTTACTTCCGTGAGCATAATCACTCCTTTTAAAGTCCTCCTGAACTCAGGAGTGCCACTACTATTGAGCAAGCCAAAATTATACACGCTGAAGAGAGAAAGGTGGGTATGTTGCAACGTAACCTCCCTTTCAGAGGAATTGAAAAGATTTTGCCCTGGCCCTAATTTCTACATTAAAGAGATTGAAAATTGTCACTACGTGCCTTCTTCAATGGGGAAGAAGCACCTTGTTGGAAAACCTGTTATTAACTCTGTGATGTCTTTGGCCTGTTATGCGTAAAGAGCAATAGTGTTTGGAGGAGGCCTGCTGACAAAGTGCAGTTTTCAGTCACAGCTGCCTACACTCCGAATCAGAAGTAGCGATCAAAAGGCGTTCCCTTTCCCCTCCAAACACTTAAACTGTGTTTTAGTCATGGTAGGGAACCTGGGTGATGTCACCTACTTTATTAATGTAGTCACTCAAACAAAAAGGCAGCACTTGATCTTCTTGAGACAAGGCTGCCACTGAGGAGCAGAAGGTTTCAGTGCCTCAGGCCCCTGAGAATGGAGGTAAGATCCTTTACTTTGCAGCCCTGTTTCTGATGTGGCATAAGAGTTTAAGAACAATTTTACTGTAAACTAACGAGCTCCATCAGAAATTGTTGTTGCCTCGGTCGGCAGGACTCCCTGCTGGCTAAGGGACAGATACCGAGTATGGCCAGAGATATTGACTGCTGGCAGAACACCCCAAATTCAGCACAAACATCTCATGAGAAATCTATTGTCAGGGAGTGGAAATCAGTGCTACTTCTTCCATAACAGAAGACAAGAGGGAGAGGAAAAAAAAAAAAAGCAAACCCCATGTTGTGTTAAGAACAAAAGGCTCAGGATTTTTTTAGGCAGGAAAAATCCTGCCTTAATAACTTCTTTTCCAACTCTCGGATAAAAAAGGGCCGATAAAACTTCTCAGTGCTCAGTTGTCTCTGAAATCTGTGTTTACAAGGAAAAGGCTAAGAACCTTTTTAAGAATGAAGGTGTGTTGCCCGATTTTTGCAAGGAATGTCTAAGATTTGGGTGTTACTTTAATAAAAATAATTCCTGATCTTTTTATGGAATGTCTAAACCCTGGGCGTTACTTTAATAAAAATAACTTCAAACTCCAAGATTAACAGAATTGCTAAAAGGAGTTAGTTCTCAATGAGAAAAACAATAAACTGAATTTGGAATTTCTGAACCAAGCCCTCGAAGGCAATTTGTGACAAAACTCCAGAAAAATAAAATCTCATTTTAACTTCCTTCTCATTTATAACTAGGCACTGCTTTGAAAAGTGTTTCTCCCCTTGAAGAGGCCTAGGAATGAGATGTTTTAGGAGAACGGGGTTTAATTTTCATCTAGCAGTAAAATGAATTAAGAATCTTGAGAAGGGGCTGCTCAAATTAGCGATTTGCTGAAATTGGAGTCTGACAAAACACCTTGCACTTGCGCGTCTGAAGAAGAACTTAGATCCTGAGTCTGCAAAGGAGTAGTCCCCTTCAGTTTCTGTCAGCACAGCTATCCGACTTTAAGGAAATGGTTTTAGACATCCATGATGTACAGAAGGCATGCATGGATCTATAGCTTGCCCCTGAGAAAGACCATGGTTTGGACAAGATTATAGAAACATTTGTCTTTTTTGTAATGGAATAGAATGAGTATTTTGAAAAGACTCGTCCGGCAGGAGGGCTGTATTGCTTTCCAAAATATCCTCTGGAACATCCTGAAAACATAGTTTGTAATATGCTCTTGAGTGACAGTGTAGGGTGTGAAGCATAAATTCCTGAGCAGGAAAGATGTATGTGGTTGTGCAATGGGAGACTCCATGTGATCTCGTTATTTATGGTGCTTCTCTCAGATGTCTTTCTGGGACTGGAACAGCTGCTGTGAACTTTACCCAGCACAGAGTACTCGGTATGTTTGAAGGACTGTGTTTTGCCGTTGCTCAGATCGTGGTGTGTGCTCTGATGAGCAATATTAGAACCAACTTCTGTGACACTGGTTGTAAAAACAGAACAGAACTTAGGGAACCCTTTTACTGGTTGATGAAAAGTGTAAAGTGGGGGAAAAAAAAGTAATATCATCTTCCATAGCTTTGGTGATGGGCATCAAGGAGTAATAGTTGAAGGCAT